CTGCTGTGGGGTCAGGAAGTGCACGGGACCCCCAGCAAGCAGGCGCCTGCTGGGCATCAATCAGTGGCAAGTTAAAATGATGTTTTATATTAACAAACGAACATATTTTGAAGTCAAATTTAAAGTTTTACACAATTTTTCAGACAAAGTACTGGACTTTAAACAATTATCGTCAGTGTAGTGGCATTTAAATTCTATTCCCTGATTCCGCTGTCCAGGGGCCAACTGGCAGAGGGCTTCGGAGGTGATGCTCGGAGCATTGGCATCGACTGTGGCACTGGGTAACCCATAAGCACAAGGAAAATGCCAGGTGTTTTGCTATGTGGTTTGTAACTCAAACCCATTACAGAACTTACCTTTCCTGGCCATTCTCTTCTCCTCTTAGCACTTCACTCCCGTCTCCTGGTCTCGCCTGTCACTCAGTGCCTCGCAGAGGTGCCCACTCAGGAAAGTGTTCTATGCTCCGATTCGCCCAGAGACCTTCTCACTTGCTGGGTGCTCCCTCCCTGAGCAATTCTCACTGCTTTCCGAAGGCATCCTGCTGACCGCTCTGGCAGCTGCCTTGGCCAGTGCTGTAACTACCTCTTACTTCACATGGATATACCTGACTTTGAGACAATTTCCTGGCACAATCGAAAGGGTGGCTGGAATGGCTGGAGCGGCCGTCCTGTGGCTCCCAGCAAAGACCATGGTAGAAAGTCAGTCTTTTCTGTGGGCACAAGGCCAGCCTTGGGGAAGCTCTGGACCTGAGATCCTCAAACCCACGATTCTACAGACTGACAGAGATGCTGCCATTAGAAACCACATCTGATGAGTTTTGGAAAAGTCACTCTTACCTGGTACCAGGTCATCTCTGGACTCGGGGCGCCACCCTGGCAGCCAAGGCTGGGGCAGTGAATGGAGCCGGTGCTGCCCAGACGGAGGTAGCGCGTCCGCGGCTCCCGGCGTGCACAGGAGAGGTCGGCCTGGGGCTGCACGTCCAGGTCCATCTTCACACAGCACGCCTCGTCCCCGCGGCTCCTGGGAGAACCAGGAGAGTCAGCATGGCCCCGTGAACACAGGTTTGACCCAGGACCAGCGGGCTTGGGGATATTTTGGATAAGAATGCCTGCGGGACACACCTCATCCTGGGCCTACAGATATAGGAGCCAGCATGGCTCCTCTCCGCGGTCAGAAAGCGCAGGGCCGTCTTGTCCAGGAGCAGGTGGGACTGGTTGCTGGTAATTTCCTTTAAGGCGCCTCCTTCCCGAGGCTGAAGGTACCACTGGACATCAGACAGGCCCTCACGGTCATGGCAGGGCCGGCGCTCAGGGCCCTGGGCGGGTGAGGGAGGGTGTCTGTGGTAGGAACGGGGTTTCCATGCCTCTGCTAAGTCACAAAATAAGACAAACTCCTCGGCGCTCTCCGCAGAGTACATCCAAAGGAAGTTTTTGATGGAGCAACCTAGAAACCACAATAGACAAGCAACACAGAAACACATTCAAGGATGAAACTGACTTACGTTTACAAAGAATAGTTGCTATTTTCCACTTCACTGTCCCCATTTTGTGGGAAAAGGAAGTTTACATGCTAACGCCCCCCACTCCCCCCCAGGGCACCCCAGCCACTTCAGCTTAGCAGTGGGTAATATTTGATTATTATGTAATTGTATTTTGAGTAGTTAGACAGCCGAGCCAGTGTATTCCTGCTCCCACCCAACACCCACCTGAGTAACTGGGTCCCCCATCAATGCTTGGCGTCAGCTGAAAGCTGTTCACCCCAGTAATTTCTCCTTCTACAGCCTCTTACTAGTAGGAAGAATGTGTTCTGTGATAGTGTGTCATGCTACTGATATATCAAATGATCTGTCACTTTAAGCTTTGACCATAAGATTCAGTGTTGACTTGAAAAGTGAACCCTACCTGAGATGTTAAACCCTTTGGTCCTCTCTCCTGTGACAAACCAAAGGAAGATCCACCCCAAACAGAGCATCGTCCGCCCAGGGGCCGGTCCCTCAGGAAGCACTCCGTGGCGCGGGGGTGCACCGGGACTCAGTCTACCCCGCAAAGCTTCTTCATTGCTGAAATAAGTGGGAGATAAGAAATTGAAACTGTGATCAAAATGCAAGTCACACAGGAAGCTTTGAAAGGGCAGGTCCTTCCTAGCAAGCGGTCACATGTCCACGTGTGCATGGCACTCAGTGGGGTGTGCAGGCTGCGTGCCACTCACCCCGGAGGCAGGGGGAGCCTGGCGAGCTCAGCACCGCGGGGCCTGGCACAGGCAGTGTGCTCTTCTGACCCCATTTCCCCACAGGGTTTCCTCCCCACGTTCTCAGCTAGTACGCACATTTCCATGAGTGATTTGGAAAGAATTAAATGAAAATTTTCCTGAAAAGAAAATGACACCTTAAGTGAAAATGTTAGACTCCCCACACTTAGGGGAGCTGGTGGAGTGCGAAGCCGCGCTGCATGCACATGGCTAGTGTGTGGGAACTGTAGCGCATGCAGGATGCTGGACTTTCTGTGTCGCAGATAAGAGGAAAGCGCTGCTGCTGGGCGGCATTGCTACCAAATCCTCCAACTGGAAAATGAGGATGGGTCACCGCACAGTGCAGGAGCCTGGGCTGTGCTCCCAGCATTTGTCCACTTGCTGGTAGTGTGGTCATTGGAATTTTCAAATCACCTACAAGAGATGAGAGGTCAGGGCACTGGGAGGGCCCTATCCGTCCAGGGCGCCAAAGGATGGTTGTGAAGCAGGAACGCCCTCCTCGCAGTCCTGGAGCCTGGGGCCCGCATTGTGGCACCAGCACGCCTGGCTCTGGTGAAGGCCTCTCAGCCTGGCCTTGCCATTACCGCGCTTGGCGGAATCCGGAGATCTCTCTGGAGTCTCTATTACAAGAACACAAATCCCATTCACGAAGGCTCTGTCCTTATTATCTAAACACCCCCTAAGGCCCCACCTCTAGTACAGTCACTAGGGCATTATCTTTGAGGGTTAGGATTTCGACATATAAATTAGGAGGTTGGGGGGAACACAGACACTCAGGTCATAGCAGTGGGTAATATTTGATTATTATTTAATTTTATGAGTGGAAAAATAAAAGTAATTTTCCTATAGAACAGTTTTCCTGTGCCTCTGAGAGTTCTGACTGTTGTCACTAACATAGAAATAAGCTGTGCATTATTCTTGGGGTTACAGACTTTATCCCCGGACCTCAGCTAACATTTCTCCGAGAACACTTCCACCTGTTCCAGGCAATCCAGGAGGGGACACATGAAAATGCACAGCCCCTGTTCTCAAGGGCCTGGCAGTGTGGAGAACAATATTAAAGAAAAAATGATTTGACACTGACTAGAACAGCAAGGAAGACTGTTCAATATTAGTGCAGCGGAGAGAGCGGCCAAGACTAGTGCAGCGGAGAGAGCGGCCAAGACTAGTGCAACGGAGAGAGCGGCCAAGACTAGTGCAGTGGACTAGGGCCTGGGGAGAGATTAACTCAACTCAGAGCACAACAAGGACAGGTGAGGGTTTCCAGCCCAGGAGCAGGGCAAGGCCATCAGGGGATGGAAACTTACCAAGAGGAGAGATGAAAGGCTGGGGATTCTGATTAAACTGCTCTAGCAGGATTCTTTCTGAAGATAGTTTAAGGACTTAGAAACAAGGGTGGGGAACAGAAACTGGATCAGATATCAAAGGAAAAATAAAGGAGGAAGTAAAAGAAGGAAGTGGGGGATAAGCTATATTAAATACTGTATGGCCAAGCTGAAAGTTCCCTTAAAAATCTCCCCACGCATCTTTGATTTTTAGGAAGCTTGCAGCATCAGTCTCTCTCTGTATCCACATCTAACCAGCTATGCAGGTCTTCTGCTCACGCTTTCCTGCACTCACTGGTCCTTCCTGCAACCACTCCCTCCACCCACGACTTTCCCAGGAGCTTTCTTTCCAGGTGTCTCCATCTTTCTTCATAAAGAAACACTTGCCTTTCCTTATCTTATAAAATTCTTCCTTTTCAACCAGTTTCCAACACACACACACACACACACACACACACACACACACACACACACACCGTGTCTCCAACATCTTGGGATGCAGGAGGAGGGATAACTTTAATATTTATAAATTAGTTATCAATAAGTAATGTTTCTCTAGCAGAAACAATGAGCTTGAGGTGTCTTTGGGGATCCGGTCAGAGCAGAGGAGTCTGGGGCAACAGCACGGGGGGAAGGGGCTCAAGCCAGAGAAGTCTGGAAGCTGACAGGGAGAAGAGATGGGCTTCCCTGAGGAGCACTGGCCTGGCAGGGTGGGTCAGGGCCAAGAAGAGTTAAACAGAATATACCCCAAAAGGAAGAAAATAAAGAACAGAGCACAGGGACCACCCTGACACAGCGCAGGGAGAACTTGAAGGGAAGACTGGATGCCAATGGCAGCAGCTATAGAGGAATCAGGCACAAAAAGACCGCAAGTGTCCACTATGTTTGGCCACCATCGGGTCAGATGAGTGCACAGGGAGGGGAGGTGATGAGAGCTGTGCTGTGAGGAGGGAGCAGGGGACAATGTGGGGAGTGGGGGCACCCCACGCCTCCCATAGGCCACAGAGGGCTGGTCTCTCCTCTGCTGGTGAAAGGAGAGGTGTGACAGGAATCTCCTGTGTGGGGAGGAGCAGGCAGATAGCAGGTGAAACAGAAGTGAGAGTGAGATTCACGGACCGATTTCTGAGGGGGCAGGAAGCAAGACAGCCTGGAAATCACAGAGACATGGGCTGGGACAGGAGGCGGGCAGGTCTATCCAGCCCAGAGCTCAGGTGGGAGGCAGAGCCCTGCTGTGAGATGCTGAAAGAGGGGAGCGCTCAGCTCCCAGGAGCTTCCTGAGGGTGGAGGGCAGGAGAGGGCTGGGCAGGGCTGGAGTCACTGTGCTCTCTGTCCCTGTGGGCTGCTCTTTCTCATAAGGACTGTGGTCAAGGAAGGCAGGCTAAAGCAGCTGCCTTTCAAGACATGGCCTGCCCCCTCATCTTCCTTTATTTTGCCCACAAAGCCCTGAACAAATAGTCTACCCATCGCTAGCCTCTGGCGGCATTTTTCTAAAAGCAAGCGTGAGGGTGTCACTTCCATGCTGACTGCACTGGCCCTCTGTCTGTGAAGTGAAGAATCCAGTCTCAGCACTCCTGTGAAGCCCTGCATGACCTCATTTGGCTCTCATATCTGACCTGGATTTCCTCAGAGAGACCCTCCCTGGACACCTGCATGATGACATCCCCCTGCCACCCACTGCGCCTGCCTGCCAGTCAAGCTCCTGTTACTCAGGTGACATTCCTTTGTCTCAGTGAGCCAGGCTCTCTCGTGTACTCTTTGGGTGAGAGCTAAAGTCCTTCTGTTTTATTGATAGACAAAAGTTACCATGAAATAGTGGTCCCTGCTATTAATGGGTATAATAAGGGGAATTTACGTACAAATGTAGTCTCAGAGACACTGTCCCGTTACCACATGCTGTGGCCTCACAGAAAGAGATGAGAGCCCGTCAGTGTAACTCACATGTCCGCAGGGTCTCTTCCTCAAAGCATTTTCCTGGTTCTATATGAGCTGCATGTCTTCCGTCAGAGGTTAACCCCTCAGTGGGTCAAGGCTATAACTTCAATGATATTCGGTTGATAATGAATTAAGAATTTAACTGACCAGAGCTTTGGGTGGGAAAAAATAAAAGAGAAGAAAATGCTGGAGATGTCAGGTGTCAAACTGGACAAACATCTTGAGTCTTTATCCACAAAATGCTCAAAGCCCTATGAATAGATTTATGTTAGTTAGAATCACCAGTTTTTATAAACTGAAGACTCCAGACATGCAGAGATATAAATTTTGCCAGTTAGATAGCAGACATATTATTACAAAACATTTTATGAGAAGGAATTGTGTTAGCAATTCATTTTGAAACTTATTTAAACTCTTTTCGCAGCTTACATTTTCTGGTTAGGAAATCTAGTGAAAAAAATGTACTATTGCCTTACCTTTATTTCCTGTTCTGAAGACAAAAAAGAGGAAGGAAGTTCACATCACTTCAATGACTGCCGGCTGTTCTTTCTGAAGAACATATGAGAATACCCATCTTCAAAGAATTCTCCTGTTTCTCTTCCTACTCAGACAGGTAACTGGAGAAGATGCAACAACAGTTAACTCTTACAAGTTTGGAAATAGACCTGGAGAAAAAAAGGAAATCTTTATTATCTTGTGAGGGACCACTGACATTGTCAAATCCATGGTCACATAGAGGAAAATCAAATAACTCCCTCTATCAGTCGAAGGAAATGCCCTGAAGATGAAGCAGCTAAGACTCTTTGACACCCCTCGACTAGATGAGGTTTGCGGTTAGGCTCAGTTGAAAACTGAGTAAGCCTATTTCCTTTACAGGAATTTCCTGTAAAGCCTATTAGCACTCAATTTCTCAATTGTGGGTTTTTGTTTGTTTGTTGTTTTTGATCTTGTACAACTAACCTCCCAAAGGGTAACCTTGAAGATAAACGCTAAGCTTTTCTTGTGATTAGGAAATAATCTGAAATCACCAAGGTTTTTTGGGTACATGTTTGTGAAGAGAAAGCTTCAAAATATAACACAATTAAGGATACCATGGTCCTTTGATGACAACTAAAATCCTTTAAGTCACACCTTCCAGCACCCAGAGATCATGCTGGTCAGAAGAGCTTCATCTACACAGCATGGGGGCGAGCCAAGGAAACACCCTCCTCTCATGTTCCAGTAAAGATGAGGCCGCTTTGCAGAGCCCCCGCCATTCCGGGTCACTTCTGCACACAGCTGGAGGGGAGCCTCAAGGACAGCTGGAGATCAAGCTCTCTTTGGGATGAAGGTAACATTCGTGTTTGCCTGAGGTGACTTTGGAAGGCCAGAAGGCAGCATCAGCAACTGTGGCTAGAAGCACCTCAAAGCATTTCTGAGCTCGTCATGACCCTGCAGATTCCTATAGAACACACGTCTTTCCAGGCTGGTCCCGAGGGAGGCCAGGGAGCAGGTGAAAGGACACTCCGCGCGGGAGGCTCAGCCTCAGTGTCCTGGGAGCAGCACGGAGACCACCTGGGGGCTGGGGAGAGATCAGGTAGGATGGGGGAAAGGGCTGACATAGGGTTCCTATGACAGGTCCCAGTAACTGTTGAATTGAACTGGACTGCAGTGCAATGGGGCATGGGCTATCTTCCCGAAGATTCAGAGACTCTGACGCAGATCTTGAAGCTGAGAGTAAAGGTGTTTAGAAAGGTGTTTCTGAAGTAAATTTGCTCACGGGAATGGACTTGGAATAGGGTTTGCTGGAGATGGAGTGCTCTGGTCCAGGCATTGTGGACATAGTCTCCAAAAATCTGCTCCTTGTGCCAAGATGTGCAGTCTATTTCTCCTGTCCTCGAATGTAGGCAGACTGTGACTTGCTCTAACCCACTGGTTCTCAACCTTCCTAATGCCGGGACCCTTTAGTACAGTTCCTCATGTTGTGGTGACCCCCAACCATAACATTATTTTTGTTGCTACTTTATAACTGTAATTTTGCTACTGTTATGAATCGTCATGTCAATATCTGATATGCAGATGTATTTTCGGCGACCCCTGTGAAAGGTTCATTGGACCGCCAAAGGGGTCGCGACCCACAGGTTGAGAACCACTGGCCTAGTGTGTTATTTGTATTCAAGTCACACCCAGACCAACATGTAAGTAAGCCCTTCTGCAGATCTCAAACAGAAGTAAATTCACCTTCCCAGATGCAAACTTTGTGGCAGGACCTCTGACATTGATGTCCTGTAGTAGTAATAAGATCTGTCTTTACAGAAACAACAACATAAAATAAGTTAGGTGAACTTACTGCCTCTTGCCTGCCCACTGCCTTCTCTCAGAAGCCAAATATTCTGTAAGCAAGCCCAAGGTAGCTATAAAAAGCAGCTATAAAAACATGAAGAGAAAGAGAGGGAAAGGGAGAGGGAGAGGGAGAGGGAGGGAGAGGGAGAGAGAGAAAAGAGAAACATTGACTGGTTGCCTCCGGTATGTGCCCCAACCAAGGATCAAACCCTCAACCTTTTAGTGTACAGGACAATGCTCCAACCAACTGAGCATACTACAAATGAGGTGCTACCTCACACTTGCCAGCAAACGACAGGTGCTAGTGAGGATGTGGCAAAAGGAAACCCTCGTGCACTGCTGGTGGGAATGCAGACTGGTGCAGCCACTATGGAAAACAATGTGGAGTTTCCTCAAAAAATTAAATATGGAACTGCCATTTGACCCAGTGATCCCACTTCTAAGAATATATCCTAAGAAACCCAAAATACCAATCAGAAAGAATGTATGTAC